TATATACACATATAATGTCTGTACTGTAATAAATAAATCTTCTATGAATTATAGAGACTGATGACTTTTTAATTGTGTAATTAAAAGTGATTTTTTTTATTGTTTAAAGGATTACACATGATGATTGAAGTGTGTGGACAATCCCTGTCTAAAAATCAGTTTATTACTCCTGACATGTGGAAGTTAATGAAGTCCTTTATTAGCTTTTATTATGTTACTTCCAAGAGTGATCATACTGCTCTTTTCATAATGATAACGTCCGGGATTGATTTTTCTGTTTAAATCTGCTAAATATATTTGAGTTCCATTATACATTTATTATTGGCTAACATATACAAGCTCTGTTGCTAAAATACAGTAAGGAACAAAAAGTTACACTGCCCATAGCTACAAAATTCTGCCAAATTTATTTGAAGGTAATTATTCAAACAAAATCTAACCCAAATACCTAAAGCTGCAATTAGAAAAGCTCATGCTCCTGCTGATTGAAGAGCCCTGGCTCCGCCATGATATTGCCCATTGCAACCATTCAAGTGTTTGTTTTGATTAACAGAACAAAATTATGATAGAATTTAGTAGCCAAGGTCAATATAACATTTAGTTACTTACTGTATTTTATCAGCAAATTTATACCATGTTAGCTAAAAATGAAAGTATAAAGTATGGATTTATAGCAGATCTGTGGTCAGAAAATGAAATGAATATCCCAATAAAATATAACATTTAAAAAAAAGGATTTTCTACTATACACACCTTCAGTCGTGAGCTGTCCCACATTCTTTTTGGCCACTAGATGCCCTCAGACTTTTGAGTTGAAAGACAGCCAACATCATTCAACCCACTTCCTCTGAGCCCAGGCTGTGCAGCCTGTGACTGGACAGTGAAGCGGAAGCAGCACAGTGATGAGCTCATCTCTCTGTCACTCTGCCCTCTACTCCTATAGAGTGTTAGTTAGGCCCGAAGCAAAAAAATAAAAAACAGGCGGAGGGCTTTCATGACTATGTGAAGAGGGGATACAAGGAATAAAGAGTTAAATAAGGGACGGGTTAACAGGGCAGGGTCACTTACCATTTGGTCAAGTTCAAAGTTCGGGCGGAGCCTTTGTGGTGGTCTGGGGAGGAGGGTCTCACTGGCTTTAGTCGGAGATCGTTGGATGAGGAGAGAACTTCCCACCCACCCTGTTATTGGGTTTGGAGGCTGTTGTCTGTCATAGCAGTGTTTGGGGTCTTTTGAAGGCGGAAACAAAGAGGTGATGGTGGTTATTGTTTGGGGACCTGTCTTGGTATGGGTCCTCAAGTCATGGTGATATATACTGGTCCAACGGGTAATTCAGATATGGATTGTGTATGCAGTCAATGTACAGGTTGTCCCCGAGGCGGTGTGGTGCGGCTGGGGGCCTAACATAGTTTAGGATTTCCGCAGAGACATCATATCTGTTAATAATTTTGGCCTTCAAAAGACCTTTGAAACCTCATGCTTGAATTTACTGTTCTGTCATGTTTATTATTTGTATAATAAAAGGCTGTTATGGCCATTTAACTCCATCAAAGGTGTAGTCTGGTTATTTGGATGAAGTGGGGAGTTGGTGGTTCCAGCAGGTTGTTTTGCATCAAGGGAATTGGGACATTTCTACATTCGACATGTCTTGTCAGCACATGAACTGATTGGTTCATTGTGCTGCTTCTCCCAGGTCTGCTGTACAATGGGCTGCAATAATGCTAATCAGATACATACACTGCTTGCTCAAAAAAAGAATATTGAGCATGTATTAATCAATACAGAATCACATTATTATGTGTCTTTTATATTTGCCTATAATTCAGCTTTAACCCATTCCAAGATTTTTTTTAGTATTAAAGGGTTTCTAAACCCTACTAGCAAGCAGTAGATATATGCAAAAAGTTTTTTCTTAAAAACAAAAACGCTTTAACAGCGGTTTTAACTTACCTGTGTCTTCCCCGCGTGCCCCTGTCCGAAAATGTGAAACTGCACGGGCAGCCGCAAAGCATCTTGGGGCAGGCGCATGCGCAGTTCACATTTTCGGCCGGGACGTGAGGAAAGACACAAGGTAAGTCTATGGACACGTGCACCCGCATGAGGACACCGTGGGAGAGTACGTGCCAACAAGCTCAGAGGAGTCAGCGCTGGATCGGAGATTCGCCACATCGCTGCAGAGAAGGCTGAAAACTGCAGGAAAGAAGAAGATGATCGGATTAAGAGACCTCATTTAAGGTAAGTGCTTTAATTAACGTTGGGGTGAGGGAAAAAATTATTTGCCTTTAATGTCACTTTAAAGCTGAACTTCAGGGAAAAATACACTTGCAGTGGGGTTCTCCCTGTCTTACATGAGATAAATTTGGCCAAACAGTGTGTGTATGGTCAGCTTAAACCTTAATTAATATGCTTTGAGATGGTTTGCAATCATTTCTTGTACCTTTGATCCCATGTCACTGAGACAGGAAGTGAGGGGAACTTCCCCAGTGGGAAACAGACAGCAGTAGAAAACCAGAGAGAGGTTGTAAAGTTGGCCATGCACTAAACGGGGTAGATGGGAATCTCCCCAGCTGGTGTGCTGCTGTCAGAATACCTGAACAGTGACTGCAGCTTTGGTCAGCAGTATGTTACCAAATGGTAGTAAACCTGTCCTGTCTTGTGTTGGGCTATGCCATAATGTGCATATATGCACAGCATACTTGCACATTATGGGACACTTACCTTTCAAGTGTACCCTTCTCAAGCGATGTGTGATGAATCTTCTGTCCCACTGCCATCTCTGCTGCCACCATTTCTGGGTTCCTCGGGAACCTTTTTCAGCCATTGGGTGGCCACTCATGACTGCAAAATCAGTCCCCAGAGCATCTTGGAGATCATATAAATGGGCTGAGTGTGTACCCTGCACAGTGCATGCATATCGGGGAAAGAGGGAAAACTTTTTTTGGCAGAACAGACTTTGTAGGTCAGCCAAGAATCCCTACCTTCCAGCGATTTTTGATTTTGATCACTTTACTTCTACTTTAACCCTTCCTAGACCTGTCCAAACCAAGAACACATTTTGACTGAAATTGAGCTTTGAAGTGTAACAGTAACAAATAACTTCAGATTTACCTTAGTAAACGCTCAAACTTTATTTTGCTAATGAATCCAGATCAAGCAAATATACATCGCCCAGGAGAGTGTTTCTTTTCATTTTTGCTCAAGCACTTATAGCCATCATGTTTCCGAATAGCTCCAAATCTCTCAGCTCAGCTTCCCTGAACTTCCTGTCCAATAGAAGATCACAGGGGACACAGCAGACTCCAGCAGCCGTCCACCTACTAGCTTGGAGAAGGGAAGAGGGAGGAGTGGCGAGCGAAACCGCTTACTGGCCGGCCGTTGTAATTAAACTTCTTGAATGTGAGTTGGGTTTTTTTTAAACATCCTCGCCCGTCCCACTTGTGCGCACCACTGGGTGGCGCACACGAGTGGGAAAATTGCTCAAATTGTAAACAGCCAGCGATGGCTGCTAACATTCAAGCGGTCCAGCGGCTATGGACCCGCTGGATCACTTGTATTATGCATGTTGGTGTGCACCCCCCTCCACCACCGCCGATCCTAAACTCCGCTGTGACCGGTGCGGGCCTGGGACCCACGCGACGGCTCTGTCACCAAAGATCAGAAAAAGATCATCACACGATCTCCCTCTGATCTCCCCGCCGGCCTCTGAATGTAGGAAGTGATGTATATTACATCACTTTCGCATTCAGCTGTCATTCTCCGGCTTCTGTAGCTGGGGAGAAGCTGGTGAAGTACGTCTCTGCTTCATCAGATTCTTTGGGGGTCCCTAGGTGACATTAGGGGTCTTAGAGACCCCTGATGTCTCCATAAAGAGGACCACCTGTGTGTGTAAATTGGCTACCACATAGGGGGCTTCTTATCTCCCTGTGTGATAGCAAAAAAGTTAAGTGAAAAAAAAGTTTTAAAAAAATTACGTTCCAAAACAAATAATTAAAGTCACATATTAAAAAAAAATGTTTTAAACCAACACAAAAGTCCATTGTCCCCACATACACACACATTACCATAGGCGTGGAAACGGAAGTTGTATTACCATATGCTTGAGAACTGAAGCTGCATTATCATAGGCTTAAGAACTGAAGCTCCATTACCATAGGCTTGAGAACTGAAGCTGCATTATCATAGGCTTGAGATCGGAAGCTCCATTACCATAGGCTTGAGAACTGAAGCTGCATTATCATAGCCTTGAGATCTGAAGCTCCATTACCATGGGCTTGAGAACTGAAGCTCCATTACCATAGGCTTGAGGTCTGAAGCTCCATTACCAAAGGCTTAAGAACTGAAGCTCCATTACCGTAGGCGTGAGATCTGAAGCTCCATTACCGTAGGCTTGAGAACCGAAGCTGCATTACAATAGGATGGAGATCTGAAGCTGCATTACCATAGGCATGAGAACTGAAGCTGCATTACCATAGGCATGAGAACTGAAGCTGCATTACCATAGGCTTGAGAACTGAAGTTGCTCAAAGTCAATAGTTGGCAACAACTGAAGGTCAGAGAAAAAAAGTAATGGTACAAAAACCTAAGCTAAAAAATCTAAGGATAAATGAAGCTTGTGTCCACCTATGGTACTCAAGTAATAATAAAGCAAAGGGTTACACAGGTTTAAGACAATATATTGTGTAATGAAAGGTATTAAACTATTTAAAGTTTGAGGACATCCAGTAACGTACATGACCCTATCTTTGTGAAGTCCCTCCTTCTACTTTCAGTAACCAGGCAAAGCCAAAACCCCTGCCAGGCTGGTATTACAGATTACAGTAATCGTGCAGCCTGTGGGTGTTGTTCCCACTTGTCAAACATTTTCGTGAACAGTATTCTTAGCTCCACGCACAGCACCTCCTTTAATAATTCTCCTGGGAGTGTCACTCAGAAAGAACCTGTTGGTCTACAACCCAAATTGTGGTGCTTCACTTGGAAAGGGCTTCCCAGGAAGGAAGAGCAGTCAGCACTAAATGGTTACACAAATCTACTTAGATGAGCACTGATTGCTGTCACTGCATCTATCACCTGCAGCAGGTAAGAACCTCAACGGCATCTGAAAAGATAACACATGCTGCCACCTGTCACCTTTCAAAGTGCTTTAACCTGAGTGTCTTCTTTCCTGGAGCGTCAATGATATGTTTAGTCTATTGTATACTTTCCTATGCACAATGTGTATCCTGTAGATTACTTTTTATAGGAGAGGATAGTTACTCTCCTTGGACCAATTATTATGGAGATCTCCTGATTTGTCATTGTTGTTGGCACCTGGTACAATACACTTTCAATGTCTGTCATATCTGATGAGGTTCTGAATAACACTAATGAAATCGAATGTAATGAAAATCTCTGGAATGTTTTTGTAGCCTAGTTTAAATTTCACCTTAACAAATGCGGTTTGTCCTTGACATCCTTGGCAAAGGCTGGATCTTCATTTTCACTTGTTTTGAACTTTGTGTTTATTATAGTGGTTGAATTTAATGGATATCAACTTTATTAACTATATATTGAACTATGCATTCAATACAGTATATTATACGAGATAGGATAGAAGATGATATGATATGACTGGGATGGTTCTTGTAACAATGGAAAACTCTTTGGCAGCCTCTCAGTTTTGTCGGCAGTCTATGTAATGTCAACAGTTTATAGCAGTCTCTCTACTGACCGCTTTTTATTGATGGTTCCTTCCAGGCGAAATACAGAGATGTCTCTGGGCATCACTGTTATTAGTCCTTCAGTCTTTACTACATTGCCCTAAGTCCTGAAAAAGAGGATGTGTTTGCCTGAAACATGTTGGCAATTTTATTACTTTGTTGGTTAGGCATCCATTTTTCCAGTCTTTTGGGTCTCATTTGTGGGGTACCTGGTGTTTTTGGAGCTACCTAACCATAGCCAGTGAGCTTTTCACAAGCCTCTAGAAACCTGGTCTGCCATAAGACCAGCAAAAATTCCCAGTACCTCTGAAATCTTTTTTCTTTTGGGGTTGGTTTCTTTAATATGGGCATTCTCCAACAGTCTGTCACACTTTTGCAATCCCGTTGTTTGGCCAGCTTCTGTAACCAAACTGTCTTATGTGATGGGGCATTGCTCTTATGTTAACATGGCAGCAGTAAAATAAGGTTTCTGGCATAGTTGTGGGTACAATCTTTTCAAGTCAGGCTGTAGGTACAAGCAAATTACCGGTCACAGGTTGTCGTTGGCTGCAAATATGTAGAATTGGACCTGTCTAGGACCATAGAACCTGAGTTGGAACAGGGGGTTCTTATCAACCAAAGGATAGGTACACCAGATCAAACACAAGCCTCATTGGAGAAAAGTAACCTGGGGCTAAAATGGATTGGTCACCTGTCCCAACCAATCAGGTCTCATTCTCTAAGATGGTAAAACAGTGAGTTTTACTGGCCTCTGTGGACAACATCTTTATTGATATGTCCAGAGATGATCATGGATGGGGTACTTATAATCTAAGAGAGCTTTGTGACATAGATATAAGTGACATAAGAAGCCTCTGTCTTTTCCCCCATTAGTGAATGAGCATAATAGGTCAATAATTCCACTGAGCACAATTATCAGATTGTTATAGAACAATACAACTATTTCTGCATAGAGCTATATTTAGAGGTCATGCTGACCTACGCACATTTGAATGATGGCATCCTTCTGGCAGTAAATGCAGTCCTACATCGGTGAAAGAATGCCATAAATCAGGGGTAGTGAATTAAAATTGAAGGAGATCCAGTGAGTACAATTATCATCGAACAGAGATCTGAATCGCGGTCCACTATTTAGTGATGCCCGTCATAGATTGTCAAATACCTTTTCAGAATGTAATATGAGTACAGTATGCATGTGCTGCGCTTTAAAGAGAAAAGGAGGGGAACTTATCAAACGAAATTGAGCAGACAAAATCTGGAGCAGTTGCCCAGGGCAACCAATCAGCTTCTCTCTTCAATTTGTTTAGTTACATATTTACATAGTATTTCAGGTTGAATAAAGACACTGGTCCATCAAGTTCAACCTTTGTGTGCATGTATGTGATTGTGCATTTGTGTGTGTGTGTATAAATCCCTGTGTGGTCTAGTTTTGAAGAGTACCTGTACCCTTATATGTTGTGGTCTCTACGGAAGGTATCTAAATGTTTTTTAAATGGTTCAATATTCTTTGCTGATACCACTGCTTGTGGCAACGAGTTCCAGATTTTAACCGCTGCGCCCCTTGTGGTTAAATCTTTTCTCCACCAGTTTTAGGTGGTGGCCTCTAGTCCTTGTTACAGAGGCCTCTAGTCCTTGTTACGATTTGAAAATGATAGAGAAGCTGATTGGTTGTCAGACACAGCTGCTCCAGATTTTGTCTGCTCCTGTTTTGATAAATTCCCCTCAATATGTTGTGAAGGATGTGGGAATGTGCCCTTGTTGGCTTATCCAATGAACAGCACTAGGAGCAATCACAGTGTGCAGTAGTAATCCACAGCAACCAATCAAAACATACTTTACAGAATTCTAATCAATACCAGCCGAATTCTGATTGGTTGCTATGACAAATTGCACTTTTTTGAAGGTCGGAGAGTTTCTGTGTGACTTGGGTATTGGAGAACTGTTATTTTGCATAGTAGCCATTCGTCCACTGCACGCTAAGTAGACAAAATGGTATTTGTGTATATGTAGCACAGAACCCAACTGTCCCTGATTTTGAGGGACTATCCCTCTTTTGGAATTGTCTATCCCCTTTGCTTCCTCAAAAGTCCCTGTTGGATGTGATATACAGATCTGTATACATAAATGTACAGTTTAACCGGCAAATGTATTTATATTGGACCAAACCTTTCACCAAATAAAAATGCTAACTAGTATAAAGGAAATGCAATGCTGAAAAGCATCATTCGGCTTCACATCTGCACCTGTCCCTCCTGAGAGTCCTGCTCTCAGGAGGGACAGGTGCAGCCTGTAACTACGTGTAGCTGCCTGTACATCCCTATGACAGGACACGGCTGTACGCCGTAGATCCAGGTGCATGCTCTTGGATGCAGACTGTCTGACCTCTAAAGATGTGCAGGTTTGGGTCAGCGTGTAGCCGAGTCCTGTCACTCAATTACAGGCTGCACCTGTCCATCCCGGAAGTAGGTCTCTGCATGGGTGTGCACGCCTGTGTGAATGAGACATTCAGCCCTGGTTCACACCTAGGCGCCACCGTTTTTGCAGGTTTGTACTCGCGGTAGCAGCATGCGGTTATTTGCGTGTTTTTCTATGCGCGTTTTAACATGCGTACGTAAAGACGTGCGTTTTGATTGGCAGCTCCTAAACCATTGTGGGTAATGGAAGAACACGCGTATAAACGCGCAAACACGCTCACGAAAAATTAGCAAAATTCTTCTGTAGCACGTTTTTGGGCATTTCCAATGAAGTCTTTGGGGAGGAAAAGCGTTTTGAACTGCCCAAAGAAGCTCCTGTACCTGCTCAGGTGTGAACCAGGGCCATTTAAAATCATGGCATTTCTTGTGTAGGGCAGTTAAAAGCGCTTTTGGAACTGCTCAAAAACGACTAGGTGTGAACCAGGGCTAAATGTAACTGGTTTTACAGAATACACGGTAACCATTGCTGTTTGTTTGAACCTTGTGCCTCCTACACGTTTTACAACAATTAATTGCAGGTGCCACATCCCAGCTGCAGAATCTGATTTCTAAAGTAGGTTATTAGTCAGTTCTACATAAAGGTGCCCATACACTGCACGATTATCGTACGATAATCGTATGCGATCGGGTTTTCGTACGATAATCGAGCAGTGTGAACGGAGACGTGCGACCGTTTCTACTGTACGGTCGCACGTCTTCTGTCGAACCAGCATGTTCGAAAACCAGCCGGGAATCGTACGATTCTCGGCTGGTTAGAACGGTGCTCGGAAGATAAATGCTGAACGGGCCGGTGTGCGCACGCGCACACTGCCCGTTCAGCATTGCGGTCATCGGAAGCCCGCCCCTCAGGGGGGCGGGCTTGCGATGATCGAGAGTGCGATCTGCCTGTCCAAGATAGGCAGATCGTACGTTTTTTTAATCCCTTTACAACCATCGCAAGACTAAAGTCTTGCGATGGTTGTAGAGTGTATAACCACCTTAACAGATACAAACACGCAAATCAGTTACTGTGTCTTGTGCAATGGAACCTCACGGCGCTGATTTGCAATCAACCGGTTACAGTTGTTAGGGCTTTGTTATGCACAGCAGGTCTTATGGGCCAGTGCCTAGGACAGCAGGGTAACACCAAACCTCGACATTTACCTGCTGTGATCTTTTTTTTTCATAACTTCTTTCCATTTTCTGGCCTATTCTGGACACATATGGCTAAATTCAACAAGAGACCTCTCACACCTATGTACCCTGCTCGACCAGCACCATTTTTATGTTTCCCCTATGGCGATAACTGGCTCTGAAATACATGCTATAGAAAAAAATACGTAATCAAATGAACAAAAATGATTTTCTTCTATTTTGACCAGTGTAGGTTTAAAAGAAGTACTTTACTGTAGATAATAAGTGCGCATTTTTTTTAAAACATTTTTTTGTGACACTGGAAATAATTAGCAAACAAACTGAATTTAAACAAAACAAAAAGTTGAATTATCAATGATGAAAATATAGAAAAAAAAAATAAAAATAGTTAAGGGGAGAAGGGAGCAAAAAGTGAATTAGTGCTGATTAGGGTTAATTAAGAGTTAAAAAGGGATTATAGAGGCACATATTTTTGTCTTGTAAGGTTGCTTTCGCTGATGTCATATGTAGATCAAACATTGTCCCTTTGATCTACATACAAATGAAACAGTAAATACCATGTAACAATATTGTCGCTACATTGCATTTCTTAGGCACCGTTCACACCATCCTCAGTGCGTTCCGGCCTGATTGTGGCTGGAATGCACTGGATCGCATTGCAGCCGCCTCAGTTTGTTTTGGGGCGGGACGGGGGTGGCGGTGCGTTGAAGTGAATGGCACTTTGGCCGCACGGGAATGCCTGCGGTCCGGTCAGAAAAAATGCTGCAAGCAC